GAATCCGTGAAATGTCTCACAACGTGGATGAAGCTGGAAGGCATTATGCTGAGTGAAATTAGTCAGTTGCAAAAGGACAAATGTTATATGAGACCACTATTATGAGAACTCAAGAAAAGGTTTAAACACAGAAGAAAACATTCTTTGATGGTTATGAGGGTGAGGAGGGAGGGAGAGGGAAATTCACTAACCCTAGATTCACTACAGGGTAGATAAGAATCATCTTGGGTGAAGGGAAGGATAACATACAATACAGGAGGGGTCAGCACAACTGGACTAAACTAAAAGCTAAGAAGTTTCCTGAATACAACCAAACACTTTGAGGGACAGAGTAGCTGGGGCTGGGGTCTGAGGACCATGGTTTCAGGGGACATCTAGGTCAACTGGCATAACAAGTTTATTAACAAAATGTTCTGCATCCCACTTTGGTGAGGGGTGTCTGGGGTCTCAAAAGCTTGCGAGCGGCCATCTGAGATACATCAATTGGCCCCAACCCACTTGGAGCAAGGAGAATGAAGAACAGCAAAGACACAAGGAAAATATTAGCCCAAGAGACAAAAGGGCCACATAAACCAAAGACTCCATCAGCCTGAGACCAGAACTAGATGGTGCCTGGCTACCAGCAATGACTGCCCTGACAGGGAACACAATAGAGAGCTCCTGACTAAGCAGGAGAAAAGTGTGGAACAGAACTCAAACTTACATAAAAAGACCAGGCTTAACGGTCTGACTGAGACTAGAGGAACCCCTGAGGCCATGGCCCCCAGAACACTGTTAATCCAGAACTAAAACCATTCCCAAAGATCACTCTTCAGGCAAAGATTAGACTGGACTATAAAACATAAAATAACACTCATGAAGAGTGTGCTTCTTACTTCAAGCAGATACACGAGACCAAATGGGTGGCTCCTCTCCAGAGGCAGGATGAGAAGGCAGGAAGGGACAGGAGCTAGTTGGATGGACACCGGAAACCTGGAGTGGAAAGGAGAAGTGTGCTGTCACATTGTAGGGACTGCAGCTAGTGTCACATGACAATATGTGTATAAACATTTTGTATGAGAAATTAACTTGAGCTGTGAACTTTCACCTAAAGTACAATAAAGAAAAGAAAAGAAAAACAAACCCTATGGAACACAGTTCTACTCTGACACATATAGGGTCGCCATGAGCTACAAGTCGACTCGAGAGCAACTAGTTTTTTAACCTCTACATGTTGGAGGGCCCGAGGGTTCCATGTACAGCCTCTTCTTTAGCTCTGTCTCCCTGGGCAATTTCATCCAGTCCCAGGACACTAAAAACAAGTGTCGCCCATCATGGTAGAAGCTCTGTCTATCCAGAGAACAGTTCTGTACAAAGGGATTTACTCATCATGTGGGGCCTATAATTGCAATAGGGTTTCCAACTCCTACCAAAACAACCAATGGGGCTGCCCTTTGCCACCATGAAGCTGATATAACCATTTTAAATGATTTAAAAATAAATCAGTGCTCATAGGAATGATAGCTAAATATCCCAGTGGTTTCCAAATCCATTTCAGTCTCTATAATAAATACCCAAGGGATGACCCAGCACAAACCAAGGTCTGATGTCTGGGGCAGCCCAGCTAAAGAAATGGTGGGTTAGCTGGCATCTTCTCAGATGCCTCAGACCCTTTCTAAAATCCCACGTTTCTCATCAAACCTATTTGGTGTATTTTGATGATGACATGGAACTCAAAACTTGGGTCACAAGTTGATCTATGGTTTGAGCTGCACACAACTGCCCACAGAGAGGCAGCACCGTGGCCAGTGTTTGAAGTGCATACTCCTTGAGAACAAAAACATAGGGTGGTTCAATCTCGGTGTGGGTCAGGAGCGCTTTCGTTTCGTGTAATGAGTATGCGTTCTCCTAATTTATGTGATGAACCTCTATTCACAGATGACATGATCCTATACACAGAAAATCTCAAACAGTCCGCAAGAAAACTTCTAGAGCCAATAGAGGAATTTAGCACAGTTGTAGGGTGCAAGGTCAACAATCAAAAAGCAGTTGGGTTTCTGTACACCAGGGACATTAGAGAAGCTATTCCATTTACAATAGCATCTAAGATAATAAAATATCTAGGAATAAGTCTAACCAGGAATGTGAAAGACTTACACAATGAAAATTATAAAACACTGCTGAAAGAGATTAAAAAAGACTTAAATGAAAAGATGTTCCATGTTCATGGATTGGAAGACAATATTGTTAAGAAGTCAATATCGAAAGGGATCTGTAGATTCAATGCAAACCCAAAGGGATCTGTAGATTCTATGCAATTCTGATTAAAATCCCAACGGCCTTCTTTACGGAAATGGAAAAACCAATCCTCAACTTTACATGGAATGACAAGAGGCCCCAAGTTACTGAAGCAATGTTGAAAGAAAACAACGAAGTAGGAGGACTCGCACTTCCTGATTTTAAAACATATTATACAGCTACAATAATCAAAACAGCCAAGTACTGGTATAATAATAGACATACAGACCAACAGAATAGAATTCAAAGTCCAGAAATTAACCCACACATCTACGGTCAACTGATTTTTGACAACGGTGCTAAGTCTATTCGATGGAGAAAGAACAGTCTTTTTAACAAATGGTGGTGGGAAAATTGGATTTCCACATGCAGAAAAATTAAACAGAATCCATGCCTCACACCATAGACAAAAATAAATTCAAAGTGGATTAAAGACCTAAAGGTGAAAATTAAAATCATAATAGTTTTAGAAGAAAATGCAGGGGCAACACTGTCAGGCCTAGCTTTTAGCAATGGATTATCCAATATAATTTTTCAGAAAGCACAAACAACAAAAGACAAAATAAATAAATGAGACTTCATAAAATTAAAAACTTCTGTTCATCAAAAGACTTTACCAAAAAAGTGAAAAGACTACCTATCGACTGGAAGAGATCTTTGGAAACCATATATCTGACAAGACTCTAACAACCAAAATATATACACATAACTTTGACAACTCAACAACAAAAAGTCAACCCAGTCATAAAATGGGCAAAGGACCTCAATAGACATTTCACCAAAGAGGACATTCAAACGGCCAACAAACATATGAAAAGATGTTCAAAATCATTAGTCATCAGAGAGATGCAAATCAAAACCACAATGAGATACCATTTCCCTCCCACTAGGATGGCTAAGATTTAAAAAAAAAAACACGTTAACAGTGGTGGAATGATGTGGAAAAGTTTAGTAATAATGGTTGCACATCTTAAAGAATGTAATCAATGTCACTGAATTATGCACATAGAAATTGTTGAATTGGTGCATGTTTTGTTGTGTATATTTTGAACACAACTTAAAAAAATAACAACTAAACAAAACAGAAAATAACAAATGTTGGCAAGAATGTGGGGAAACTGGAACCCTGATCCACTGCTGGTGGGAATGTAAAATGGTATAGTTGTTGTGGAAAACAGTGTGGCTGTTCCTCAGAAAACTAAAAATAGAACTACCATAAGACCCAGCAATTCAACTCTCAGGTATATACCCAAAAGACTTGAAAGCACAGACTTAAACAGAGACTTGTATGCACACCAATGTTCACTGCAGCACTATTCACAATAGCCAAAAGGTGGAAACAACCTAAATGCCTATCAACAGATAAGTGGATAAACAAAATGTAGTATGTACATACAATGGAATACTAATCAGCCTGTAGGAGAAATGAAGTCCTGATACATGCTACAATATGGATGGAGCTTGAAGACACTATGCTGAGTGAAATAAGTCAATCACAAAAAGAATAAATATAATATTACCTCATTAATATAAAATGACAAGAAAAGGCAAATGTATAGAGACCAAAGTATACTAGTCGTTACCAACCAGGGTAGGAGGGAGGGGGAAAGGAGGAGTTATTGCTTATGGAGTACTGAGTTTGTTTACGGTGAAGGAAAAATCGCATTGATTAAGGGAAGGGTTGCACAGCTGATTAACTGCTGTCAATAAATTGTACACCTATAAAAAGCTGAACTGGCAAAAGTTGTGTGATATGTTTACAACAAGGACAAAAAAAAAAGAGTAGCTGCTAGGTTGTTTATGTACAACCAAACTCTTCATGGGATTTGGTTGCTAGGTTTAGAAGTTTAGGGTCATGTTTCATGGGACATCCCGGTTAACTGGCCTAATATCATGTTTAGTGCTTCTGTTGTACCTCCTAGTTCAAAGCATAGTGCCTGGGGTCTTAAAAACTTGCAAGTGGCCACCCAAGGTTCAGCAGTTGGTCTCTCTGGAACAACAGAGGAGGAAGGAGAGTCAGGAATAGCAGAAGGAAATGGAATACGTGGCTAATTGCCTCCATGAAAAACTGCCCTCTTTGCCATAAGACCAGAGGAACTGGATGGTGCCCAGCACCCAATACTGAACATTGCAACTAAAGATTCCTACAGAAGAATTCTGATCAAAAGGGAAGAAAGGCAGAACAGAATTTCAAATTCTTATGGAAGCCAGACTTTTAGGAGCTATTGAGGCCAGATGAACCCCTGAAACCACTGCCCTGAGACAATCTTTAAATCTTAAACCTTAAACCAAGAATATTCCCTCAAGTCTTAAAACCACAGTTTAGCTTAACTATTAAAAAATGTCTGCCTGGAACACTGTACTCTTTTAAGGTCTATCTATATGTGGTCAGTTGACAACAACAACTTGAACAGTTAGATAGGAACCTCAGGGGGCAGTGAGTTTATGTCAATGGGTGAGAAACAACCCAGGAAAGGAGGGTGAGAATGGCTGCACAACTCGAAGAACGTAATGAATGTCACTGAATTGTACATGTAGAAACCGTTGAATTGGTGTATGTTCTGCTGTGTATATTCTCAGCAGCAACAATAAAAATAAAATAGATGATGAAGAAAAAAGTTTATATGATGACAATGTATGACTTTATAATCACAGAAAACTTGATTATACAGCAGTGGGGTTTTTTGTAAACAAACAAAACCGTGTCAGTGTCCTCTGCTCACCTCAGCTTTGCCTGCTTGTCCAATCCAATCACTTTCCTCACCACCTGCTGGCAGAAGCCGTAGCACATGAAGAGGACAGAGTTCTCCGCGATGTTGGCAATCAGTGCTGGGCTGGTGCCCTTGTAGAAGCCCCGGAAGCCCACCTGGGAGTAGGTCTTCAGACAGCAGTCAGTGAAGCCCCGGTACAGGGCGGGGAATGTCTGCATCTTCACCTTCATTGTGTCAAAGGGCTGCCCGGTCAGAACACATGCGGTGCCCCCTGCAAACCAGAACAGCACGTCATGGCCTGCACCTCCCAGGACAGCACGTCACAGCCTGCAACCCCTCAGGAGAGCATGTCATGGCCTGCACGCCCCCAGGACAGCACGTCACGGACTACACCCCCTACACCCCCTACAGGACAGCATGTCACGGCCTGCAACCCCCCAGGAAAGCATATCACGGCCTGCGCCCCCCCAGGACAGCATGTCACAGCCTGCGCCCCCCCAGGACAGAATGTCACAGCCTGCACCCCCCCCCAGGAGAGCATGTCACAGCCTGCACCCACCCACAAGAACATGTCACAGCCTGCTCCACCCCCCAGGAGAGCATATCACAGCCTGCACCCCCCGCAAGACAGCATGTCATGGCCTGCACCCCCGCAGGACAGCATGTCATGGCCTACGCTCCCCCAGAACAGCATGTCACAGCCTGCACCTCCCCCAGGACAGCATGTCATGGCCTGCACCCCCCCAGGACAGCATGTCATGGCCTACACTCCCCCAGAACAGCATGTCACAGCCTGTACCCCACCCAAGACAGCAAGTCACAGCCTGCACCCCCTCAGGGCAGCAGGTCACAGCTCATGCCACCCCAGGACAGCATGTCACAGCCTGCACCCCCCCCCAGGACAACAGGTAACAGCCCATGTCACCCCCGAAGTATCCCAGGACAGCATGACAGTCTATGTCACCCCCAATGTAGCCCAGAACAGCATGTCAGTCCGTGCCATCCTAAGGTAGCCCAGGTTAACATGACAGTCTGTGTCACCTCCAAGGTAGCTAAGGACAGCATGTCACAGTCCGTGCTACCCTAAGGTAGCCCAGGACAGCATGTCGGTCTGTGCCACCCTAAGGTAGCCCAGGCTAGCATGACAGTCTATGTCACCCCCAAGGTAGCTCAGGATAGCATGTCACAGTCCGTGCCACCCCAAGGTAGCTCAGGACAGAATTCTTCTCAGGTATGTGTGAAGCTTGGCTTTAGAGCACAGCCGCAATTGTCCATGAAGGAGGGATAAGCAGTCCACTCCAGAGCTTACCTTTGCTTCGGTTCCTTTTGGCCTCTTTTCCCTCTGAATCCTCTAGCAGAGTTCAGTAAGCAAATTACACAGGTCCCTGATGTGCCAGGCACCCAGCTTTAGCCCTGCAGGAGCCCACACTCAGAAGGGGAGATGGACGTGTGGTCAACAGTCAAAGTCACAGGACGCCTGCTGAGCCAATGTGCATGCTTAGGACCATCGGCAGTGGTGGAGAGCCTGGGTCTCTGACTAGCTGGGAGGTCCTGGACCAGTGACAGAACTCCTTAGCCTCATGTGCACCACTTCACACATGTGATGTGAGGAGTAAGATGACACCAGGCTTTCACATAGTGCCTGCTAGACAATAAGTGGTTAATAAATGGCAGTCACTCTGTGTGTGTATGAGAGAGAGAGGGAAGAGCTATTTAAAGGAAAGGAAGTCTAGGAAGAGTTAATCTCTCCAGTTCACTTAAGCAAAGCACTGAAAGTACTGACAACTCTCAGAAAATAACAGTGAACACACAACAGGTGAAGAAAAGCAAGGAGTCTGGCTAATTAATCCCTGAAGAGCTAAATATTTGACCCTATGGAAAAACCTCTTTAATTTGGACTCTACCAATTAATGATTTATCTTTAGCTAGGGAATGGACTGCAATTTCCTTTTGATTATGAATGAATCCTATATTCGTATGTTTTTATACAAGAAGAGTGTTTAAATACAGGTAGTCCCTGACTCTGTCATAGGCAGGTTCTGATGTAAGTCAAACGCCTCATTTTTTAGTTTTCATTATTACTGCCTTTTTTAAAAATCAGTATCTTTATAAACCATAACACTGACCATCTGTGAGTGAACATCTGAGAATGATAACATCAGCAGTTTAGGCACTGCAACACTGTATGTAGTACATACTACTAATTACAAGACGCACCAAAAAAACAAAAAAACAGAAGGTGAAGGGCGGTTCGTCGTAAATCAAATACATCGTAAGTCAGGGACTACCTGTACAGCAAAATCTGAACGACATTCCCTTCTGTAAATATTCTGAACTTAAGAACAGCATGAACTCTAACAACTCCAGGGAGTCCCTGGGTGGTGCAAACGTTTAATGCACTTGACTGCTAATCGAGAGGTTGGAGGTTCGAGTCCACCCAGAGATAATTCGGAAAAAAGGCCAGGTGATCTAACTAGGAAAAAGCAGCTACTGAAAGCCCTATGCAGCACAGTTCTACTCTGACACACCGGAGGTCACTGTGCGTCAGCATCGACTCCAGGGCCACTGGTTAATATCCACTGTCCCTGGCCTGGGGCCAGCACCTCAGGGACTGCCACTAGGTAACAACACTGTCCCCCTGGGCCTGAGAGCAAAGGTATCTCGGACTTCTCCAGCTTCTATCAGGAAACATAATAATCATTTAATGAGACTATTAAACCTCCATCAAAACTGAAGAGATGACTATCCTCTTGCAAAAAATGAGAATATAAATATTTTAAAAAATGTAACTTTGTAACTTTGGCTTTATACATAATTATTACAACTAAGTCGTGGAAAGCAGAGACGGGGTGCTGTTCAGAACAACTCTCAATTACACATTGGAAGACAAAGAGAAAGTTCTAAAGAGCCTGGAACCTGTCTGTTGTCTCCTTTCAACCAATGAAGAGTGTGGCCTCTGTGATTCTATCATGACTGCTCGCTTCTGGGAGAGTAATGATATACTTCACCTGTCTTGTCCAACTATCCCCACTCTGAATTAGAGAAATATCACTTACTAAAACTTTAATTAACTGAGAGTTATTCTCTCCCAGGTACTGCTGGGCTAGAATAAAATAGGACCCTAATTATACCAAAATAATTTAATTATTCCAGAAGAAGAGGAAAACATCAGAATTTTTAAGGTGGGCACACAATTCAGATAACCTAGACAGGGCAGTGTTTCGTTCTGTTGCACAAAGGGTTGCTATGAGTCGGAACCAACTCGATGGCACCTAACAACAGATGTGGATGAACTGACTAAAACATTTCATTCAAAGCATTCCTATTTTAACTAGCTGGAGGTTTTCAGTTCCTTTACTCCATCACCCTGGAGGGTGCTCACATCAGAGGTCACTACTCTATGTACTTGCCGAATATCTGTAACAGTTACATTTCCAACACTGGGAAGACGGGTGGCTTCTCTCCTTTCGTCCGTGGAGGTTACCCCACTGCCCATACCATTTACCACACGGCACTGTGACAGCTCCACCTCACATGGGCACTGACTATGCTGAAACCAGCACCACCCACTGCACCAAAAGCTAGCAGGTTCCCAAAGACCCAGAGTCAGCAAGGCAATGAATCCTACAGGAATTAACTGTCCCCACTTGTTTAGATGGCATACTCGGGATCATCTCATTCTTCTTAAGAGACGTGACACCACATTTGAATTCTTTACTGGCATCACAAGGTCATGCGTTTTACTCTATAGGAGGGACACCTGTACCATTTTTCACCAGCATTTTAACGAGGTTGGGTTTTTGGATTTGCAGTCCTCAACACGGTAAGAGTCAGCAAATTACAAGGTGTTGCGGACTCTCTCAGGGCAGGGACTGTGTCTGTGGTGAAGGGACAGTCCACACGAGGGCAGAGAGCTCACAACAGAGACAGACACACAGCCACAAGGGTCCACCCACCAGGGGTGAGAACCCAGCACCTCTGGAGGCACTTCATAAATGCTCAGCCGAACAGGGCAAACAAGCATACGAGTTTTTAAACATTTCAGTCAAAAAAGGCTTTTGAAATTTGGAAATGGACAGTGGCGATGGTTACAAAATGTGGTAAGCATAATTAATGTCACTGAATTGTGCACGGAAAAATGGCTGAAATGGCAGGTGTTTTGTTATAGTTCGGCACAATAAAATTTTTTTTTTTTTGGTTTTTAACTTTGGCATTTGAGGAAATAAACAATTATCTAAAATACCACATCCCCCAGCTATACCAGTTAAACAAGGCATACTGCAATAAAGTACCATCATCACTACTTGCTATGGAATCGATTCCAACTCATCGTGACTCCATGTGTGTCGGAGTAGAACTATACTTCATAGGGTTTTCAATGGTTGATTTTTCAGAAGCAGATCACCAGGCCTTTTTTCCAAGGCACCTCTGGGGGAATCTGACTAACCTTTTGGTTAGCAGCCAAGCTCCTTAACCGTTTGCACCACCCAGGGACTCCAAATGAAAGTAGTGACCACATTATTTTATAGCTGTTAAACTACTAAATTTAAAGTACTACTACTACTTGCTGTTGTTGTTGTTAGATGCCATCAGGTCGATTTCAACTCATAGCAACCCCACATGACAGAGCAGAACTGGTTTCCCTTTAAGGCTGTTTAACTTTTGAGATCCACGCAGCCTCATTTCATCAATTATCCAATTACCTATCTTCTTCGGATCCTCCCTCCTCCAGCTGCCTAGGGCTCCAGATCCTTCCAGAGCACCCACCTGAGCTGTCTCCTACAGCAACTGCAGACAGAGAGGACAACTTCCCAGAAGGTTCCATTAGAGGAGCTAAGCTGTTAGTGGGAAAAGCTTTGTTTAAAAGAAAAAGGAGAGACACAAAGAAGAATCCACTTATGCTACACCCACATTACCCTGACCACAACTGGCTCTGCTCTTAGAAAGGAATCACTTCCATGGGGTCGGAGGGGGGGCCTGTGTCCATAAAGCATTAGGGGTTTTCTGCTCAGTCTCTATGTGCATGTTGCTGTTGTTAGGTGCCATCCAGTTAGTTCTGACTCATAGCGACCCTACGTACAACAGAACAAAACACTGCCCGGTCCTGTGCTATCCTGACGGTCGTTGTTATGCTTGAGAACATTGTTATAGCTACTGTGTCAATCCATCTCATTGAGGGTCTCCCTCTTTTTCAGCAACCCTCTGCTTTACCAAGCATGATGTCTTCTCCAGGGACTGGTCTCTCCTGATAACATGTCCAAAATGTGTGAGACAAAGTGTCGCCATCCTTGCCTCCAAGGAGTATTCTGGCTGTACTTCTTCCAAGACAGATTTATTTGTTCTTTTGGCTGTCCATGGTATATGCAATATTCTTTGCCAACACCATAATTCAAAGGCATCAATTCTTCTTTGGTCTTTCTTATTCATTGTCCAGCTTTCACATGCATATGAGGAAACTGAGAACACCATGGCTTGGGTCAGGCGCACCTTAGTCCTTAAAGTGACATCTTTGCTTTTCAACAGTTTAAAGAGGTCTTTTGCAACAGATTTGCCCAATGCAATACATCATTTTATTTCCTGACTGTTGCTTCCATGGGTGTTGATTGTGGATCCAAATAAAATGAAATCCTTGACAACTTCAATCTTTTCTTCATTTATCATGATGTTGCTTATTGGTCCAGTTGTGAGGATTTTTGTTTTATGTTGAGGTGTAATCCATACTGAAGGCTGTAGTCTTTGATCTTCATCTGTAAGTCCTTCAAGTCCTCTTCACTTTCAGCAAGGTTGTGTCATCTGCAAATCACAGGTTATTGATGAGTCTTCTCCAATCCTGATGTCACATTCTTCTTTGTATAGTCCACCTTCTCAGATTATTTGCTCAGCATACAGACTGAATAAGTATGATGAAAGGATACAACCCTGATCCACACCTTTCCTGATTTTAAACCATGCAGTATCCCCTTGCTCTGTTCGAACGACTGCTTCTTGATCTATGTACAGGTACCACATGAGCACAATTAAGTGTTCTGGAATTCCCATTCTTAGCTATGTTATCCATAATTTGTTATGATGCACACAGCTGAATGCCTTTGCATAGTCAACAAAACACAGGTAAACATCTTCTTGGTACTCTCTCCTTTCAGCCAAGATCTATCTGATATCAGTAATGATAGCCCTTGTTCCACGTCCTCTTCTGAATCCGGCTTGAATTTCTGGCAGTTCCCTGTTGATGTACTGCTGCAATTACTTTTGAACGACCTTCAGCAAAACTTTACTTGCATGTGATATTAATGGTACTGTTCAATAATTTCCACATTCTGTTGGATCACCTTTCTTTGGAATGGGCACAAATAGGGATCTCTTACAGTCAGCTGGCCAGGTAGCTGTCTTCCAAATTTCTTGGCATAGACAAGTGAGCACCTTTAGCACCGCATCCATTTGTTGAAACATCTCAATTGGTATTCCATCAATTCCTGGAGGCTTGTTTTCTGCCAATGCCTTCAGTGAAGCTTGGATTTCTTCCTTCAATATCATCATATCTTGATCATATGCTACCTCCCGAAATGGTTGTCAACCAATTCTTTTTGCTACAGTGACTCTGTATTCCTTCCATCTGCTTTTGATGCTTCCTGAGTCATTCAATATTTTGCCCATAGAATCCTTTAAAATTGCAACTCGAGGCTTGATTCAGCTTGAGAAATGCCAAGCGTGTTCTTCCCTTTTGGTTTTTGAATGCCAGGTCTTTCAACATTTAATCATAATATTTTACTTTGTCTTCTTGAGCTGCCCTTTGAAATCTTTTGTTCAGTTCTTTTACTTCATCATTTCTTGCATTCGCTTTAGCTACTCTATGTTCAAAAGCAAGTTTCAGAGTCTCTTCTGACATCCATTTTGGTCTTTTCTTTCTTTCCTGTCTTTTTAATGACCTCTTCCTTTCTTCCTGTATGATGTCCTTGATGTCATTTCACAACTCATCTGATCTTTGGTCATTAGTGTTCAATGCAAATCTATTCTTGAGATGGTCTCCAAATTCAAGTGGAATATAGTCAAGGCCATATTTTGGCTCTTGTGGACTTGTTTTAATTTTCTTCAGCTTCTACTTAATCTGCATATGTGCAATTAATGGTCTGTTCTGCAATCGGCCCCAGGCCTTGTTCTGACAGATGCTATTGAGCTTCTCCATCTTCTCTTTCCACAGATGTAGTTGATTTGATTCCTGTGTTTTCCATCCAGTGAGGTCCACACGTATAGCTGCCATTTATGCTGTTGAAAATAGGTATTTGCAATGAAGAAGTTGTTGGTCTTGCAAAATTCTATCATGAGATTCCCAATGTCATTTCTATCACCAAGGCCATGTTTTCCAACTACTGTTCCTTCTTCGTTTCCAACTTTCACATTCCAATCACCAATAATTATCAATGCATCTTGATTGTATGTGATCAACTTCAGACTGCAGAAGTTGGTAAAAATCTTCAATTTCTTCATCTTTGATGTTAGTGGGTGGTGTGTAAATTTGAATAATAGTTGTATTAACTGGTCTTCCTTGTAAGCATATGGATATCATCCTATCACCGACAGTGTTGTTTTTCAGGATAGATCTTGAAATGTTCTTTTTGACGATGAGTGCAACACCATTCCTCTTCAATTTGTCATTCCCAGCAGAGTAGGCCTGTAATTGTCTGATTCAAAATGGCCAATACCAGTCCATGTTAGCTCACTTAATGCCCAGAATATCGATGTTTATGCGTTCCATTTCATTTCTGATGCTTTCCAATTTTCCTAGATTCATACTTTGAACATTTCACATTCTGATTGTTAATGGATAATTGCAACTGTTTCTTCTCATTTTGAGTTGTGCACCATAGTAGCAAATGAAGGTCCCGAAAGCTTCACTCCATCCAAGTAATTAAGGTTGACTCTATTTTGAGGAGGCAGCTCTTCCTTAGTTGTATTTCGAGTACCTTTTCACCTGAGGGGCTCATCTTCCAGCACTATAGCTGACAATGTTCCGCTGCTATTCATAAGGTTTTCACTGGCAAATTTTTTCAGAAGCAGTCTGCAGGTCCTTTTTCCTAGTCTGTCTTAGGGTTGCTATGAGTCAGAATCAACTCGACTATAGTGGGTTCCATGCACGTAATGATCTCTAAAGCAACCTCTAAGCTCTATCACCTGAAGACTCTGTGACCCCTCCAGAATGGGACTGTTGCTTCTCATCCGCCACCTCATGGTCAGAACAAAGGTCCTTATGGGTCACTAACGGGCACCACATATACCCAGCCCCCATATCAGCCTCATCAACCCCAGCTCACAGACCCACTGCAAAGGGAGTTCCTGGTGTTGTCTGAAGTCAGACAACCTGAGGCAGATCAACATTAGTGAAGAGTTGTCCATGGGTTGCCAGAGTAGGGAGAATACCTATGCCAGAGTTATCAGGAAAATATAAGTGGTGGTATGGAACACAGTTCTACTTGACATACATGGGGACGCCATAAGGCAGAATCGATTAGATGGCAGCAGGTTTTTTTCTGGTTTACGTATAAGGGCCTGATACACGTTAATGTTCAATACTGTACAAGCACATCTACCAGCAAATGTCTTACATACTGGACTCCCGATAATCCTGTTGCAATTTAATCTTTAAAAACATACTATAAATTGCAAATGTGGCCCCTAAATGCCTATACACACACAAGTGCCTTTTTAGGAAAAGTAAGCCTTTTAATTCTATCAAAGTAGATCCCAGCTCTTTGATAGGACACATAATCCCCAAAACTGAGAATCTCTGAGTGCTTTGATGCTCTCCTACTACAGAGACAAAAACTGAGCCCAGCGTTCATGTGATGGTAAAGGATGCCTGAGGAAGACGACTGTTCTCACAGCATCCTCCACCAAGGGTGCATGGGGTCTAGGGGACTGTAGCTTGCTTCCACAGCAGGACGAGGGGCCAACCCAGAGCCACTGGGTACGCTAAGAGCCTCTCGGGCTGGCACCCAGGGAGGCCCTCTGCCTTTTGTGCCCCTGCTCCTCAGGCTGGGACACACCGTGGTCTCTAACTTGGAAACCACCTGTTGCCCACTGCTGCTTATCAGTGTTTGTAATATGCTGTCTCCCGCCTCCCTCGCTATCTTACCTTGGGTGACCTTTGGTTCATGGAAAAATACTCTGCTCTCTGTTCAACAACGATTTAAGAACTACGTGGGATGAGAGAAGGAGGGGCTCTGACAGCATTGGATCAGCTGGCCTGGGAAGTCCCACGAAAACTCTCCCCAGTTCTTTAGGGCCCAGCAAATCCTCTGACCTCTCCTCTTCTTCCAGGCCTTTAAGACAATGTGTAATATCAGTCCTATTTTCCAAAGACATTTCTAAAGGGCACCCTCCTTTCTTTAGACCCTGGGTAGTACAAATGGTTAACGTGCTCAGCTGCTAATCAAAAGGTTGGAGGGTTGAGTCCACACATACGTGCTTTGGAAGAAAGTCCTAGCAATCTACTTCTGAAAAAATCAGCCATTGAAAACCCAATGGAGCACAGTCCTACTGATACACGTGGGGTCATCAGGAGTCAAGAGTCGACTCGACAGCAACTGGTTAGTTAATAACAGTATTTCCCCAAAGGGAGGACACAGTGTTATTCTGCACTACAGGGCTATGAAGACAGCCACACCTGGGTTGGGGTCCATTACCTGCATATCCCAGCCATGTGACAATGGGCAAGTGACTTCATCTCTGAGATGTCTTCCATCTGTAAACTGGGGGTAATCCTACTCCCCACAACCCTAACTCATGAAATTTTAATATAATGGTCCCTACACCACCTTCTGCCATACTGTGAACACAATACCACACTTCCATTAAAGGGCTGCATTTTGTGCTTAAAGCATATTGTTTCATGAGTGAAAAAGATAATATTTTCACACTGCGTTCACTTGCCCTTGCTTTTAGGAAGTGCTCGAGGGACAGAGAGGGCTTGTTCTTCTCTGGGATTACCTGCAGCCCCCGCTGTGAGGTCGATGGCAGCTTGGATGGCAGGATTGGACTTCATGTTTGCACATTGGTCTGTTAGTCTCTGTGGAAGGCAATCTCTGGCGTTTATGACAGGCTCCTCATATCCCTGGGAGGGGGCAAGAATTCACATTAGTCAGGCCTTGGTGGCCTCCCATTCTCCAAGCCTCCTACTACGTCCCTGGCTCCCGAACCCTGGGAGCAGGGAACTCAGCTCTCCATCGCTCCAAAGGAAGAGGGCTCCAGGGGTCAGGGCAGCACAGAGCTCAACTTCCCTTCTCCCCACTCACCACCTCCTTCAAAAACCTTCCCTAAATGCCAGAGCCACAGGCAGGACTGGAACCACTCTTTCTGAAAACATGGAAACGAATGCCAAATAAGCAAGCCAACCACAGACAGCCCAAGCCACATCAAACTAGTTTTTCAGAGGCCTGTGCTGGAATATCCATCCACTGGTATGGTTTTTAAGCTATGTCAGTGATTTACCTATGATTACAAGACATGATGTATATTCCTGATAAAAGGCTTCCAGTCTCATTCCCAAACCACCTCCCAGAGGGAGTCACTGGAATGGAGATGAGCACCATGGTCCCTTCTAACCAAATGTTATAATACACATCAGCAGAAAATAATTCTAGCCACCAAGCAGTTTAACCACTTGAAGCATTTTGCCAATGACAACTCCAAGAATCCTCCTTACTTTACAGAAAAGGTTTTAAGGCCATCAACAACAACAAAAGCACAGTACTTAATAAAGTAACAAAGTCAGAAAACACTGATTTTATGTTATTGATAGGCCTGGAGAGGCAGTACCATTCAGGGCTTTGAACCAGTCACTCCCAGTTCAATCACGGCCAAGGAAGCAACACGAGAACAGACCCAAATTTTTAAAATTTGGGTGAACCAGAACCATACCGGAATGGGAAAAATTACAGGTGGAAGCCCTGGTAGAAACTTAATCTACGTTTTAGAAAACAAGAGCAGAGTACGCATTGCATAGCAACCAAATCCCTCACCCAGTGGATACTGCAGAGTCGGAAACAGTGGTGCCCAGCTCAAAGATGGCGGCCAACCACACTGCTTTAAACGTGTGCCACTCTCCTCAGTCCTGGCAATAATTCAGTCTCATGCATCAGGTTCCTGAAAAGGCTCACTATGCCTCTTCCAAGTCTCCCATTCCAAGGCTTCAACCTGTAGTTCTTCCTGTTCCGGTCATGGTTCCGGATCATCCAAATTTTAAAAATTTGGGTCTGTTCTGGTTTCACTTTGTTGGCCATGACTGAACCAATTGGAGGCCCTGGTACTAATTACTAAATTGATCAGGTGGTGGTGGCCATCTGGTATTTACTTAGAAAAGGATATCAGAATCCTAATCCAACCCCCTCCTTTTCCAGATGGAAAACTGAGGGCCAGAGGGCAAGGTCTCTTCCTAGGTCACACAATTGGTCCGTGACAGAGAAGATTTAACACTTGTCTTTCAGGTCTACTTCTACTAAAATAAAACAAAAAAAACACTGCTACCAAGTAGATTTCAACTCATAGCAACCCTATAGGACAGAATAGAACTGCCCCATAGGGTTTCCAAGGAGCTGCTGGCAGATTGTATGGTCAACCTTTTGGTTAGCAGCCAAGCTCTTAGCCACTGCGCCACCAGGGCTCCCCTATTTCTACTAACCAGTAGTCAATTCCAAAGATTATTCCAACCTGGCCCAAAACAAAACATCCAATCCTGCATTTTTAGAGGAAAACCGAGGCCACTGGGGAGGTAACTCACAGACAGGGCACATGGAAAAACCTCAATGCCTTCATTCCTTTTGGTTTTGAAACTTATTTCTCAGAAGGAAAGGCATACAGGCACATCAGATTGTACTATATCATCAGTGTGAACGGAAGCCCTTTAGGAAAGCAAAACTTAAATACATAAAACTCAACAAACAGTTATTTGTAGAATTATTAGGATAGAAAACAGTGACGGGTACTAACAGATTAACCCAGAAGGTGCTGGCAATTATCAAATTATGTGTAGCCAAGGCTTGGAGAAGACTCGAGTCCAGGAGGCAAGCCTGATCAGCAGCAAGATTTAAAATTTATTTAGATACTCTCTGCACCACTGGAATAGGAAAACGTTATCTTCAAGCATCCTTTTCCCTCTTTTTCAAACTATACCAGGGTCCAACTTCAGGAGAGACAGAAACAACGGCGCCAACCATACACGTCTCTCCTTCCCTGGGGAAAATTAATTTCTCGGGTAGGAGAATCAGATGAGACCACATTTCCCACCTGGGGACACGAACTACTTCAAGAAGATTCTACCTCAGGCAATCTGGTGCTGTAGGAGGCCGCCCGCCCACCCGACGAGTTAGGAGAGCTGAACCCGAGAGGCGCTGGGATGCCTCGGTTTCCCCGTCCGCACAATGAACAGGTTTAGCTGGGTGACTTCCAACTTTCTCTCCCCAGCTCAAAGCGTTCACTGCTCAGCCCCGCGAGCTCCAGTCGGCAGCCTGGCGGAGAGTCTCCATTCATACGCGCCGCGGGCCTCCCCAGGGCTCCAGCACGCGGGCGCAGAGCCCAGACGGCACTCCTCGGAGGCGAAGGAGTGCGCCACTTTCCAGCCACTGACCAGCGCGGGAAGGAGGCAAAGACCCCGGCCGAGCAGCCCGCGGCGGGGCACGTGTGGGCAGGGCTGGCCGCGGACGCCGGCTCCGGCCGCGGGCGGGCCGCTTCCCGGTGCCCAAGAAGGTCACGCCGCCCGGGGCAGAGGGCCTCCCCGCCGACCTCCCGGGGGCGCCGGGCCGGCTACTCACCGCCTTGTCCTGCTCCAGCTCCGCCGCCTCCTCTCGGTGCTCACTCCACCGCCTGGAGGTTGCGTAACACCCACACCGCCTGCGACCAGCCCTCCGCCCCGCCTCTCCGCGCGCGGAGTAACATTCGGCCGCCCCGCGCGTCCCAGGAGCGCGGTCTGCGGCCTCGGCGCGGCTGTGCCCGCCGCTCGCCCGCCAGTCCTCAGGGAAGCGGAAGTGGCGCGGGTTGTGGACAGGCCCCTGCCTACGCCGCTTGGAGCTGGGAGAACCGCGAGGCAGGGCGAGCCGAGCTTCCCGGGGGCTTTCCGTCCTCCGGGTGCGGGGGCCCTCTGTGATGCCAGACTCTACTGAGACCTAAGGGCTGGGGGTGGGGCAGTGTCAGTGGTTGGGAGGACTTAGTGAAGTCCTGGCTAACCTTTAGGCTGGTTAACTTTGCTGGAACTCGGGGCCACAGCCTTAATTTTAAATTATAATTGACTAAGAAAGTAATGGAATGGTAGCGATGAAAAATAAATTTGCTTATTGTTGGTAAAAAACCATATCTAACCTCCCTCCGCCAAGGAACTCCAACTACACTGATGACATTCAGGAAAGTACACCGAGAAAATGGTAACGTTTTCTCAAGTACATAGAGTAACTCGAATTGCGTATTATGTCTATGGCTGTCTGGTGGTTTTTAAAAATATAAAATATTCAAGGAATCAGTTGTTTTCTAGGAGTAACAATTTTCTGTAGTGCTGTATAAGACAAAAAGGCTAACACTCAGTTGCAAGGGTCTTAGGCTACTATCAGAGCCCTGGTGGCGCAGTAAGTAGTTAAAAGCTCGGCTGCTAACCAAAAGATCAGCAGTTTGAATCCACCAACTCCTCCTTGGAAACCCTACAGGTCAGTTCTACCCTGTCCTACAGGGTCGCTATGAGCCGGAACCAACTCGGTGGCAAAGGGTTTTTCGAGTTTAGCCTGCTATCAAAGTCCCTGGGTGGTGCAAGCTAAGCCAAAGCTTAGAGGCTGGAGTCTACTCAGGCACCTCGGAAACTGGGATGGAGGGGAATCAGCCACTGAAAACCCTATGGATCACAGTTTTACCCTGACATACACGGGGTCATCATGAGGTGATCAACTTTACAGTGACTGGTTTTAGGTTTGTACAGATAGCCACTCAATAAAACACTCAGCTACGGCCTTCAAATTGCTTTGGTTCAGCCTTAATGTATTTATTTTCACTTTCTACACTGTGTTTTCTTCCTTAAAACATGAAGTCATTTTCTTTTGCAACTTTTTGCATTGACACAGGTCAATGATTTAAACATTTTTCATGATTTGTGTTAGTGCATTAACATGAGTGCATAGTGGAATAGACCTTCCTGATGGTGGTGGATGTATCAGACAGCAAACTCTCCTAAGAAATGGGGGCACTCGTCAAAATGGGGCTGACTCCTTATCTTTTCACAAAATCAGAACTTTAGAGCCCAAGCCTCTGCAGCATCATTTAATTACAGAAACAAGCCAGAGGGGTTGAATGACTTGCCCCAAAGGGCATGTAACAGCTAGTTGAAGGCAGATCAGGAGCAGAAGCTGAGTGACAGCATCATAGTGGGTTGAGAACTGTCAGTATCACCTGGTCCAGTGGCTTTTGCATATTTGGGAAGCAATGCCCGAAGGAACCCTGATGAAGGACGCACCCAGACCTTCTGCTGTGGATTAGAAAGAACACTGGACTTTAGCCAGGATCCTGGGTGTATAAAAATCTCTACGTCACCCTAGCCATGGGAATGACTGCACCTTGGGCTCTTTTGAACCCCCTTTTGCTCCGTGAGCCTGCTGGAACCATCCACTTTTGTGGGTCACTGTTACTCCCCATCACAGTGAAGCGCCTCGCTGAGCCCTCAGCCACCAAGCTAACGCTTCACCTTGTTGAGCGCCTTCCTCTCCCGTCTCTCTCAAAGGCTGTTCCAAACTCTCCCCACTCTCCCCAAGCCTTCTACGTTACTCCTGTCCCCCACCTCTCACTCACAACCCTGAGCTTCAATTTATTCTGTCAGGTAAGAAGCTATCAGAACTTCTCTCAAATTTTTAACTCTTAATCTACAAAGTTACCTTTTTGCACAAACTAATCCATTTTTCCTCTGTTTTGCTGCTATGTATCCCTGTGCCTAACACACTTAGCAGCACGAATGAGGTGGATAAAGAAACAGAAGCTGAGAGAGGTCAAGCCATTTGCCCAAAGTTATACGGGTACTAAGGTAGAAAAACAGGATGCAACAAAGTTCGTCCAACCCTAAATTCATGCTCTTAACCACTAT